TTAATATTATTTTTAATTTTTAATCAATTTAAAAATTATTTAATAATACATACAAATTATAGTACCAAATGTAGTTTGTTTATTTTTATTTTCTCATTTATTTATTTTAGTGACAAATAACATGCCATAAAAATAATTTATCAATTCAATTATTATAACAAATCGGATCGAATTGTTATCTGATCAGATAGTTATCGATGATGAGAACGTGATGTCTGTGAAAATTGAAAGATTTAAAGAAAACAAACATTTTTTTTGGACAACTTATTTTGACAATTTTACCTATCAATTAAGATGTCATTTGAGTTAAAATTGCTATTTGAACATTGACTGACGATTTTATGGACGGAATGCTTGAAATGGACAACGCTGTAATTATATATAAAGGTTTGGGACTTCGACCGCAAAAATTAAAGGTTTGGGTGTAATCTGCAACAAAATAAAAGGTTTGGGACTAGCACTGCAATTTTTTCGAGTCAAAATTACTGTTGAAACGTTGACTGACGATTTTATAGATGGAATTAAAGGCTTGGGACCAACGCTGCAACTACATATAAAGGTTTGGGACTTCGGCCTCAAAAATAAAAGGTTTGGGTGTAACCTGCAACAAAATGAAAGGTTTGGGACCATGGCCGCAATTTTCCTAAATATATAATGTCATAAACAATTTGTTTATTTGACAATGTTCTCTTGATATTGAATTATTGTCAATCTCAATCATGATGACTCCTCATTTTTATTAAAAAGTCACCCTTCTCTTATCCTTCTCTTGGACACCATATTGGCCAAAGTTTCATATTCTGCTTTGCCATGGACACGAAAGACCGCAATAATGGTGTTCTTCATGTGGTGATGTTTCCATGGCTAGCCATAGGCCATATCAGACCATTCTTTCAGCTGTCGAAAAGCTTAGCCCGAAAAGGCCATCTAATCTCCTTTATTTCTACTCCTAGAAACCTTCAAAGACTTCCCAAAATACCTTCAAATTTGGCCTCGAAAATCAATTTAATAAGCCTTCAGTTGCCTAAAGTTGACAACTTACCAGACCATGTAGAGTCTTCGATGGACATACCCCATATCAAAGAACAATTCTTAAAGATAGCCTTTGATCTACTCAAATCACAAATAGCTACTTTTCTTGAAAATTCAAGGCCTAAACCAGATTGGATTGTCTATGACTATGCCTCTCATTGGCTACCTCAACTTGCAGCTCAATATGGCATTTCAAGGGCATACTTTAGTCTCTTTACTGCCGCTTTCATGGCCTTTCTTGGACCTCCATCCGTGTTGATGAGTGGAGAAGATGGTAGATCAACGGCTGAGGACTGGGCAATCCTGCCCACGTGGATACCATTTCAATCTAACATCGTTTATCGAGTTTATGAAATAAACAGGAACATGGACAGTATACCAGGCAACGAATCCGGTACATCTGATGTGATTCGCTTTGGCATTGCTATTGATGGAAGCGACATCGCACTGTTCAGAACATGTGTTGAATTTGAACCAGATTGGTTCAATCTAGTCTGTCAACTTTATCAGAAACCAGTTATGCCGGTGGGCTTTTTGCCACCATCACTTGAAGATGAAGATGATGAATTTGAAAGTACTGAAGAATGGCTCAATATAAAAGATTGGTTAGACAAACAGAAGTCACTGGTCTATGTTGCACTAGGAACTGAAGCCACATTGAGTAAAGAAGAAGTTCATGAGTTAGCCTTTGGCTTAGAGCAATGTGGATTGCCTTTCTTTTGGGTACTAAGAAAACCCCCAACATCTGACTTCGAGATGCTTCCTGATGGATACCAAGACAGGGTGAAAGAAAGGGGAATGGTTTGCATAAAATGGGCACCACAGGTTAAGATACTGTCTCATCCAGCAGTGGAGGGATTTCTAACTCACTGCGGTTGGAACTCGGTGATAGAGGGGCTGTGCTTCGGTCGAGTTCTGATTCTACTCCCAGTTATGAATGATCAAGGGCTGAATGCAAGACTTCTACATGATAACAACGTGGGACTGGAGATACCAAGGAATGAGAAAGATGGGTCCTTCACCAGAGACTCGGTGGCCGAGTCAGTGAGGTTGGCAGTGGTAAGCGAAGAAGGGCAAACACTGAGGGACAACGCAAAACTAGTGAGTCGACTGTTTAGAGATTCCGGTGAGAGTAACAACCGGTACATCAATTCTGTCAGTAATTACTTAGTAGAGACAAGGAGATGTCAACTCAAAAGTTGTCCTGATGAATAAATAACTAAAACACATGGAGAAAGAAACCACCACACGGTCCACACCATATCAGTCACTGCCTCTGCTCTATTATTCACAGCCCATTTTCACCTTTCCTAAAATAAAGATGTATTCAGAATTTAATCCTAAGTTGATTTTACACGTAGTTGAATACTCCAATGTAAACAGAAAATGCACCTATACGAGCAAAAACACTCTATTTCACTGTGTATTTCTTTTTTTCCTTTTTTAAATTTTAATAATGAGGTCGTACAGAATAATTTGACGGACTTAACATTCGCAAATAATACTTATCCATTAAATTGGTGCATCACCTATACTCGTAGTGAGTCACAAAAATTCTCAGTGCACAATACATTCTGAGGTAACCTATATTAAACAAAATATTCACATTGTGCTGATGGGCTTCCATCTTTCACTTACAAGGCCAAACAGCTGTATTAGATAAACTAAACGATTGAACAGTCTCCTCCCACTCATGATCATCATATGGTGATATGTGAACTGATAAATTGTAGTATTTGATGGTGTAGCTTAATCAGGATTCTATAGAACATTTCTTTGCCAAATTGCAGCTGAAGAAACTCTATTTTCTTCCTGAACATGTGGCAAATAGATGAGGTGATTCCCAGACAGGGATCAGATGAAGAATAAGCTAATTGCAAGTGTGGCTCAACATTCTGAACTTTGAGTGAACTCCAAGACCTGGAAAAAGGAGTAAGATAATTGTGTTCACTGTTGGTATAACTGCCAAAATAATATGGAAAATCTATAGAGAACTGAAAATTAAAAATTTAAAAACTAAAAGAATAAGAGAATTTCCTATCCATATGTAGGAATAGCAAGATTATGTTCTGAAATGGAAATGGCTACTTCCAGCATGCAGAGTTGTACTTTGATTATAATGGCAGTAATTATTCCACTACGAAAGATGTTTAGACCTTACAGGCTGACCCCAAAAGTCATTTCTGAGAAGTGTGAAATCAATGCCAGTTCTACCTTGCAGATAGCCTACGAAATAGAGTACCTCACTAAAATAAGAAGAGAAGAAACTAGCACTATCAAACCTTCTCTTATTCATCAAATTGTGAAGCATTAAAGATGAGATAAGTTCAACAAGACTGGAAGCCACGTTATTAATAAAATCGTGAGCAAACGTCTATTTTATGCCCAGAATAGGACAATTCATGATTTTGTTTTCAATACAGTTCGACTGTGATCAAATTACTCCCCTTTCAGTATCCCGCTATTCCTATTGATTCCACCTCTAACATTCATCATCACGCAAGGCTGTAAGGGGATCGACAGAAAGATTTCTTCAGTTCGGATTGTTATCTGAAATTCAGGAACATGAAGTCGCAATTGTAGTTATCGTGGATCAGCATACTGTGCTGGCATGTTAATATTCACTTGTTTCAGCATCATATTCCAGTTATATTTCATTTCTTCACATCAAGAAGAAAATAGGTACTGTTAAGTAGCATGACCAATGTTAAATTAAAAAAGAGAGAATCAACAAAGAGTTCTATTGCATCAAGTTCACCAGAAGAGACAAAATGTAACAAAGGCTAACTCCCAAGTTATTTCTGACAAGTGTGAAATCAACCTGTAAGTTATACAACAAATGGGGTAGAGTACCTCAGCGAAGAAGTATCTTGCACTATCAAACCTTTTAATTCTTCAAGGACAACGTTAAATGAAATTTAAAACCTAATTTTGTTGGTAAAAATATCATATCATTGATAAAACTTTGAGAAATCAAGCTCATTTATGAGTAGAACAGTATTTTTAAGGTTTTATTTCAAACACACTTAAATTGGTATCATGAACTTTCCTCTTTCAGTATCCCACTATTTCCTGTCAAATATATAAAATTCATCATGCATGTTAAGATCCACTTGTTTCAGCGATCACCTTCTGATAATCAATTGTCTTCCCATTGAATAAACACCACAACAATTTATACAACGAAAAGGTCCATAACCATTCATACATAACAAGGAGGTAAATCACTAGAAGGGATCCAAGTAAACATTGGAAGAAGATAAATGTGGCAGTGAAAATATGGAAAAGCATAACAATAGTTCTTGAACAAGATAGTAAAATGAGAAATACAAAGGCTATCAGCATACCTGAAATTCTGACAGATTCAGTGATGAGAGTATTTAACCCCACATTAATGTCAAGTTAAATCTATCACATTGCAGAGGCTTTGGATTTTAAGTTCCGTGGAAGATTAGTTTTGTGAAGCTGAGGATTTTCAATGGAATACACCAGAAGACTTCCATCTTTTGTCCCAGCTATGAAACATTCTTCAGGGGTCACAGTAAGTGAACTTATTAATTTCCCAATTCCGCTGAATCTTCTTATTATTTCCAGTGAGTTCATAGAGCGTACAACAATATGCCCTTGGTCTCCTGCACATACTAAGAACTGGCCACAGCTACTCAGTTCAAGGCAACTGAGGCGGCCAGTGGATTCAGAAGTGGAAATGTGTTTCCCATTAATAGAATAGAGATGCAAACCAAGATCATCATCTGCATAAAGGACAACCCAACCATGACGAGATGCAACAAGCTTGGACAATGGACAGCCAGATGGATGCCGAAGAGATCTTACATATCTACCCTCCCGCAGGGTATGAAAAACACAGGTTCCATCTTTCGAGCCACTTATTACTAAATCAAGCTCTGAACTTGCATATAAGCATGTAATGATGTCATCATGTCCGCAAAGAATGTGGGATGGAGTTTCAGCAACAACATAATCTTTCTCTGTCAGTGTACTTCGAGATTTTTTTTCAGGTGCTTTGACACGAAGAATTTCCCACACCATAACGGTCGTGTCATAGCTTCCAGTAACTAGCATGCTTCCATCAGTGGTAACTACAAAAAGGCCAAGAAACGCTGAAATATATATCAACGAAAATATGTAGAAATTATTGCATATAGAAGAAAATACATTATAGTCCAGCATGCTTCTATCAGTCTCTAAAACAAGGACATAAAAATACTGAAAAATGTGACATCAACATAAAAATTATTACATGTAGAAGAAAAGAAGGCTGTCAAAGTGGTTAAACCGAAAGTATATATCAAGTTTCAGGAATACAAAAGAAAACTAGAGACCTCTCAAGTGTCAAGCACATCAAGAGCAAAAAATCAAAACTTTTGGTAAGACGGGAGGATGTTACGAAGATTATTGATGCCATTGTGTGAACTTTCTGAATGAAAGTCCTAGCACAAATGTTAAGAGTGAGGAAGCTAATAAAGAGATGCAATGACTTAACTTCTCGCAGAATTAGGTACGATAAGTGAGAGAAGAACTTTAGTAATCTATTGAGACCAAATGTAAAGTTTTGTTGAGTAATCATTTCAACTAAACACATTTAAAAACATCCAAGGCAAATATGTTTCAAAAGTGCATAAATCACTGCTAGCGAATCCTTCCAGACAGAGACTACAAAACTCAAGTGCTAGTCAGGTGCCCAAAGACGTTCAAGGGTATAGGATAAGGAAAATCTTGGAGACGAAGCATCATCAATTTCAGCCGCAAAATGTATCCATGAGAACTGCTGACAGACAATCCAAGGATCACAACTATATTACTTGTAGAAGTAAAAACTTGTGCAAAGAGAACTACAAGGTCACATTTTCCACTGAAATAATAATTCAGTTCTGCTAAGTAGAATTTTAGGTCCTCAATTGGTTCAACCGTTCAAGTATCATCAGGTTTTTGATACTCTGATCTTTTATTACAATAATATCATGTAGACAGCTATAAGAGAAAAATACTAGCATGCTAGGATCTATTACATGTCTATCTAAAATTTACCTGAAACACAACTGACAACATCTTTATGTTGTCTGATACTCTGCACCATTCTTCCATCACTGAGGGATAAAATCTGAAAACTATTTTCCCAGTTGCCACACGATATAAGAAAGTTTTCAGTTGATGTTTGTAATGTTGCAAAGCATTGTGATCCAAGATCAATATTTTCAGCCAGAGGACTTCCAATTTTACAAGGAGAAAGTACATCTGTACCAATTCCGAAGAAAGGATCCTACAGGCAAAATAATTGGTCAACCAAACATATCGGGAAATGTAACAAAGCATATTAGTCACATATATTATAAACAGTACCTGCGAACCAGAGAATGTGAAGTTACCACCAGATTGAAGCTGGGTTGTCAACCAAATCTTAACTGACATTGCGAGGCCTTGGTTTACAAGTATAATATTGGAGTCTAACATATTAACATACAGAACAGCTGACGGAGAATTACTTGTGCTTGTGACAACAGAAGATAAATTGATAGAATCGGGAGCAAAACGCAGGGGGTGTGCAATTGGAATGGGAGGACCTCTTCTAGGATGTTTTCTACGGAAAAGTTGAATCGGTGTCTGACCAAAATTGGCTATCTGATCTTCTATAGCTGACTTTTGCAATTCATCTTCCATAGTATCCAGGTCAACAGCACCTTCATAAGTCAAATAATAAAAAATATTTGCAGCCTGTAACATCAATATGTTGAAGATCAGCGAAACTTATGACATAACCAGAGCCCACATTAAAATTAGAAGAGTTTGGTTCACATTAAAGTTATAAATAAACCCTTCTTATCCACGTACCTCTACAGCTGATTTTCCACGCTGTTTATAACCAAACACCAAATCAATCCAGTGGTGAAGGTTCGAGCTAACATATTCACTTTCAAGGGCCTCTCTGTTTTTATTTATGAATTCTTCCGGTGAACCCTGGAAAACAAATTATAAGGTAAGATCATTAGATGTTTAACCTTGAATGGTCAAATCTACTGTCAACTAAATGTTTGATATAATAATTTTCAAAGAATTGACTGAATTTCAATGGCACAGAAGTGGAATAAGCAAAAATGTGAAACACTGGTTGTTTCTCTAACACAATAATACACAGTGTAACTTTATGACTTTCTTCACAGAGGCAACTGTAATTATGTATCAACTTTTAAACAAAT